GCTCACACACACACACACACATACATCTTCTATCTTCCTATATCACACCACCAACATTATGCGCCCGCCAATCAAAATTATTCCTCCACCTACCATCTTTATTTCACTCGCCGCCATTGTTCTTCTGCCGGCCCACCAACATTGCGACACCTGCCAACCAAAATTACTTCTCCACCCACCATCTTTAACACAACCACCCATCAACATTATCTTGTCACCCTCCAAAATAAAAGTGCTTGTTCACCAACATTACTTTGCCAACGCCCAACAATATATCTCTTGATCACCAAAATTCTCTTTTCATGTTCAACTTTCACTGCAATCTACTGTAACGTGGATGGCATTGAGACAAATCAAGGTGAATCGCAAGGAGAGAGCTCAAGAATGGATAGTGATCCAGGTCCATCGAGAACAATGCATCAGCCCCTTCAACAGCAACCAAAATATGTACCACCAATAAGCATGACACCATTCACGTTTCGTATACCAGGCTGTGAGAAAAGTGGAGACAAGAGATTGAGAATAGATCCAACAGAGGCGTCAAGGCTTGAGGAGATCAGGCTGAAAAAGAAGGCATCATTGGTGAAAGCACGACAAAAGAAGGCGGAATGGAGAGAGGCGGATAGGCAAGCTGTTGCTGAAGGTCGTACCAAGCCATCAGTGTTGGCGCAAGCATCCAAAAAGTTTCCCATGATGATCAAGGGTGATGGCACTTTGGACGAATATGACATTGTCAAGGCATTGCGTGAAGTGACGGTCCCCATTCCATTGCACAAATTGTTGTTCTATGCTCCTGGTCTTCATCAAACATTCCTGGAAGCAGTGGGTGGAAAGGGTACATATGCAAAGAAGGATGACCCAAGCGTTAGTGCCATGATACTAGAGGGAGCAAATCAAGAGCAATCAGGGTTGGATGCAAACAGGGTCCACTTTACGCTTCGAACAGCAGACCAAGATCCATCATACGACTTTAAAACTTTGGATTTTAACGTGAATGGTGCCCCTTTGGAAGCAATTTTGGATGGTGGATCGACTGTGAGCATCATGCCGTTTTGGATCTCTGAATATCTTGGCATGGATAAGACTATCAAGGCTACAACAAAGGGTTTCTCATTCGGTGGCATGTTCACTCAAAAGGTTCATGGAATATTGGAAGATGTGCCAATGCACATTCATGACGATTTAATGATACAGCAGCACTTTTTGGTGGCCGAAGGTCCAGAGACACCGTTTTTGCTTGCATTAGATTTTATACGAGCATCTGGAGCCATGATGGACCCCGCTAATGATTTCATGCATTTTGAGCTACCAAATGGGAAAAGTGTATCGGTGACAACGGGTCGTAGCAAAAGCATTAGCAAGGATGCATTTTTGGAAGGGCGCGATGGAGTCATGAATGTGCCCATGTTGGCCATGGAGGAGCCTGAACAAGCCTTGGTGACATTGACCGACTCATTGACTGTGGATGCTTATGAAATCTCGGTGATTAAGATTAATACGCAAGTGGGACAGGATATGATAACCAAGAATGACATGGTGTCAATCCTTGAGCCAGTGGCATCAGCATTTCGGCGTGGTCTTATCATTATTCCTACCATCGTGCATCATAGCTTGCCACAGTATACGTCGGTTGCAAATCTTACATCAGAGCAAATCACTGTCAAGGAAGGAGATGCCGTAGCCATTTGCAAGAATAGGATGAAAAATCTTCAGGACTTGGATGCTATGGACGTCCCATTTGTGGATCTCGATGAAGCATTGGAGTATTTGGCACACCTAGTTTGGTATCCTGATACAGCTGCATTGCCAACATGCAAGTCGGGGCCTGTTTTTAAGCCTATGGCCGAGATGTTTGAGACAAGTGAATTGGTCATGCACACCGTGGGAGTGGGCTCAGCTAAATCAGTGCCAAGTGAGGAGCCAAAGAATAAGGGATATGACATCAACCCGGAGCTGACCCCAAAGCAAACCCATCAGCTATTGGAAGTGCTAAGCAAGCATGAGCGTATTTTTGTTACATCTTTGGAGCAAGTAATTAAAGTCCGTGTTGAACCTTATATCATTCGTCTGAAGGAGGGAGCCATACCTCAAAGTACTGCTCCTTACGCCATTCCTCATGAAGCGAACCTTTGGTTAAAAGAGTACCTGCAAAAGCTTGAGCAACTTGGGATGATTGAGCCTAGTGAATCTCCATGGGCAGCTGGCACTGTGTTGGTACCAAGTGATGTGGATAAGCGTGTGAAACGCAAAAGACGCAAGGCAATTGCCAAGGATGATTTCATGGTGAAGACGAGAAACCGCGATGGTTATGGAAGAGTCTTTTCGATAAAGCAGCTTGATGCGGATGATGAGGACACCGAAGAAGCACGTGATGATGAACACAAGACTGATCTATATGCCACGGGTCATATGTATGGAGGAGCTCCAGTGAAAAGAGCCATGTTGGAAAATGGGCGCCATGTGGAATATACAACAGAAGTCAAAGCTCCAAATTCGGGAAAGGATCCATATCGGCTTTGTGTTGATTATCGACCACTTAATGCTCGTACGGTGTCAGATTCCTACGCGCTACCCAATATCAACTTCCTGTTTACGCACTTTTCGAATGCTCAATACTTCTCGATATTCGACGCCATGAAGGGGTATTGGCAACTTGAACTGCATCCTGATTCTCGAGAATTAACAGCATTCAGTACGACACATGGCTTATATCAGTGGACAGTGTTACCAATGGGAGCAAAGAACGCACCTGCAGCATGGCAAAAGGCGATGGACAAGGCCTTCAAACAAGTGTTGTACAAGTACTTTGTCATGTACATCGATGATGGCTTCATTTACGCTCCCATTTTTGAGGATCACGTGCAACATCTGGACCCAGTGTTGACCTTGGCTGAAGAGTTTGGTTTGAGCATTTCCAAAAAGAAGTGCAAATTTGGGTATCAACGCTTGAAGGCATTGGGCTATATAGTGGGCACAGACGGATTCGAAATGGATGACAGCAAGGTTGAGCGGATCAAGAAGTGGCCAACACCCATCAATGTCTCTGAAGTGCGTACATTCTTTGGGTTGATTCAATACAATCGGCGTTTTGTGAAGGACTTTGCTGTCGAGACCAAGCCTTTGTGTGATCTTTTGGGCAAGAATGTCAAGTTCTTTTGGGGGCCATCACAAGAGGCATGCTTCAATGGTTGTAAACATCTCTTGTCCTCAAAGCCTATTCTTGCACACCCTGGTTTCTCAAGGACCTTCATTCTATACACTGACGCCTCATCCATTGCCATATCAGCAGTATTGACTCAACCAGCGATTCATGACGAGTAAGAGCTACATCCAATTTATTTTGCAAGTCGTATGTTGAACAAGCCTGAGAGGAACTATTCGGTCTATGAAAAGGAGTTTGTTGCAGTGGTGCACTTTGTCAAGTTCTTCAGGACCTACTTGTTGGGACGTCATTTTTATGTGTATACCGATCATCAGGCGTTGAGGTATATCTTGTATATCAAGAATGACGCATCAAGTCGGGTGTTACGTTGGCAATTGGCTATGCAAGAATACGACTTTGATGTATACTATCGACCTGGGAAGCAGAATGCAAACCCTGATGCGTTGTCAAGGTTACCAGAACGAGCCTATGCGCAAGAGGAGAGGCTTCATAGTGAGGATAATGAAGAAGACGTGAAGAGCCTACGGCAATGGGTCTTGTTGACACAAAAGACATTCTCGAATCATACAACACCGGTACAACAGCATTCAAGAGGGTTGGCTAATTTACGAGGAGGAGTAGATGCGCAAGAATATGCAGACCTATGGATGTATCTCACTGCCATGTCTTATCCACCAAAATATGATGAGAAGGCACGAGCAAGATTGAGGGCAAAAGCAGCAGACTATGAGGCACGAAAGGATGGCATCTACAAGAGACCAAATGAGAGGCATGGATATCGCAAGTTGGTACAAGAAAAAGAGTTGTTGAAGGTGTTACAAGAATGCCATGACCATTGGATAGCGGGACATCAAGGTGTAAAACGCACATGTGATCGAGTTTGCGAAAGATACTATTGGCCTGGATATTTCAATACGGTGAGGCAGTATGTCATGTCATGCAAGGTGTGCCAACTGCATGGACCAAAGAACCCACCAGTACCACTCATACCATACCAAGCACCAAAGGAAGGACCTTTAAGCGAATTGATGATTGATTTCCTTTCAGTGGGTGTACTATCGGAGCAAGGCAATACCTCGGCTATTGTGGGAGTGGACATGTTTAGTAGATGGCCCGAGGCAAAAGCGACACCGAATCAAACCGCCAAAGCTGCCGTGGGTTTCTTGTATGAGTGGATTTGCCGATATGGATTACCAAGAAGAATCATCAGCGATAATGGGCCACATTTTACTGCGGGAGTCACTACAGCTATGTTGTCCAAGTACGGGTTACGCATCGAGTTCGGTCCACCTCATCACTCTCATCGACAAGGAAAAGTGGAACGAATGATCAAGAGCATAAAAGCTATACTCAAACGGTTGTGCACGGCCTATGTTGGTGCTTGGGATGTGTGGTTACTAGCCGCGTTATTCGTGATCCGCACATCGAAAACACAAGCATATGACGCTTCTCCCTTCTTCATTATGCATGGAAGACATCCACGAACTCACGAAGATTATGACTTACCCCAGTCTGATGAGGCAGGAGAGGATGATGAAGAGCTGTTGGTGTTGCGACTTGAAGAAATCATTGGTCACCATGAGTACACATTACCAAGGATGATAGTGAGACAAGAAAAGTACCGATGGAGTATGAAAGAAAAATATGACAAGAAGGCGAAGCCAGCGAGATATCTATTATATGACCAAGTTTGGGTGCAAGATAACATCTCGAAGCGGTTTAAATCAGCATTACCTCCAAGATGGTTTGGGCCCTACCGTGTCAAGGAAGTGCTGGGTAGAAATACCTACCGATTACAAGATGGGAATTTGACCCTCCCCCATCCATATCATGCTGACCAAATGAAGATTTACATGACGCGTCCAAAAACCTATACAAGTCATCATGATTCAAGTGGTGAACTCGAGGAGCCTAGTAGCCATGGACAAGTTGAGGTGGGAGGCATGAGGGGCTCTCTACCTCCCACCTGGAGGAGTGTAGTGAAGGATGATAGCCCGGATCTGATGCAGCAGCCAGGAATGAAAAGATCGGCTTCCGAGACCTCACCCCAACATCCCACAAGCCATGCATAAAATCAGTGTAACAATCTTTCCCCATAGTGCAGTGTTATCAAAGTATATATATATCCCCATATTGAGTAAAAAACCCAGTAGTGAGCCTCTTCTTTTCTGAGTGCAGTCCTAGTGAGAGCTTTGCCTGTGAGTGTGCGTGTGTCTTTTCAAAAGATTGTGTGCTTATAGTTTTATTGTATTTCCCTCTTAGCGATATCCTAGTTTTATATACATCTGTTCCCTCCATCGTATCCTATTGCATCTTCTTCTCAGTGTATCTTTTTACGTTTGAGTATTTTGAGACCCTTCGAGTATTCGTATTAGCAGCTATATACACAAGGGTACGTTTTCGTAGATAGATGACTTTGTATATGGACACCTCGACTCACATGGCAGGGTATTCACATTTAGGCCTTGCCGCTGACTTCGTTCCGGTTACACTATTTCACCATCATCATTTTCTGATACGACACATGTCGAGCTTTCTTTTTGGCGGATATGACCGTAGCCAATAGCAACGACGTATGATAATAAAGAAGTACTAGGCCGCCAACTGCTCGCTTCGCTCGTAAACGTCGATTTTCTGTGGAAGGGCTAATCTCTAAGTGAGGAGTAATTTTTATATATGTAATAATATGAGGGGAGTTGATAATGGAGAAAGGATAGTGGTACAAAGTAATATATGATCGTGAAAGAGAAAGTTTGCTGGTAGCTATATACGTTGATGTTGTTAAAGTAAAACTTCGCTGTAAACGACGTTGCGTGTGTAATACCCTTGCTGTTGGGGGATCTTAGAGTTGGTTGGATCAAGCATGATGAGCTGATTGATTGAGGGGTACGAACACGTGACATTGCAACATAAAGTTGCCCATGGCTAAATACTGGATCAGGGAGATAGATACCAATTTTCTCAAACGTTTGCCCTTGGGATTTGTTGATGGTCATTGAAAATGCCAATCGAACAGGGAATTGAACTCGTGTGAATGGGATGGGACATTGCTTTTCTTGAGCTGTGATCCGTATACGTGGTATGAGGACTGTGTCTCCAATATGTGATCCAGATGCAACTTCTGCTTGAATAACGTATCGTTGAAATGCTTTGCAAATGAGGCGTGTACCATTACATAATCCTTTTGCTGGATCCAGGTTGCGCAATAGCATGATAGGACATCCGATCTTTAACTTTAGGTGATGTGGAGGTAGCGATGAAGGCGAAAGTGAATTGAGCACTTCTGGAGGAAAACGTATATTGTCTTCAGGTTGATCCATGGCGTCTGCGCTCTTGAATTCATGCATTTGGCCTCGGAATTTATCAATGATGATATTGTTAATATCCGAAACATCCCTGTTTTTGGGCGTCAAAATGGCACGACTCATGAAGAAATCCGATGAGGAAGGAACAGAAGAGAGATCACCAAAGATAGTGTCAATCAGCGTTAAGGTGTTATAACCACCGAGGAGCATGCTATCATGAACGCGTATGCGATCCTCAGATCCTTCTACAATTGGCTCTCTTCCATCTCCAATAGATAGCAGATAATCAGCAAATTGCTGTAGGTTTTCTGCATTGTTGGGATTGGCAGCATGTTGAACACGCATGTTGATTCCAAGACGGTGGACATGCACGTGACGCCATATGCTGGAGTGATTGAGAGCTTGTGAAACGATTTGTGGTCGTGTCGCATTGGGGATTACAGGAAGAACCTATTCATTGTACAACCAACATTGTATGTAGAGTTAGCATAAAGCATAAGTGATAAGCCTGTGAAATGGGATTTGGGAAGCATTACCTGTCGGAAGTCACCTCCAAAGACTACTACTTTTCCACCGAATGGGATACGCTCGAGGGTTGAATGAAAAGATAGGGGACCACATTTCTACGCACTGCAAAAAGTTGTGAATGTCGCTTGTTCTTCATAAAACCTTACCCATATATACATTCGGACCTCGACAATCCACTGCTGGTAACCATTTGTATCTCCGACCTCTGATTGGCAAGAAATCGCTGAAATAAAAACGTCTCCTTTTCACTGAATTGACCATATCGGCATACGATGTAAAAAACGTACTCCGATGTTCCTCCAAATTTGGTCACATATGGACGCCGCAATACGAAATCTGGGAAAAAAACCCGAACTTAATCGAATCAAATGCGCCCATGTTATGAGGGAAAAACTACCCAAATTGGGTGGAT